TTAGTTCAGTCCGTCCAGGGATTATCCATTTGCAAATTCCAGTGTCGAAAAAGAGAGGTCAGTAAACTTACAAATGTCAGTCCGGTGATATATCTTCTCGCAGTAGAGAGATATGAATAACTCAAAAACTCCTCTCTTCTGTCAGCAACTCTTCAGTAGGGAAAACACACAGCTAACAAACATCAACGTAATCCAATCCAGTAATTGTCAGTAATTGCCAGCAAACCGTCAGGGAATCGTCAGGGAAATCGTCAGCAATCAATCACGTTGTCTTGCTCCCTCTTATGGTGGTTTCACACCACACCCAAAATCACATGCTTTGCATTTAAAGTGACACACACTTAAACTAACAATCCTAGCTTATATATATTATTTTACCCAAACTAGTTAGGTGACCTATGTTATACCTACATTCTCCCCTTTTGGGTAATATAATAATATATATATCTATTTACAACCTTAACCCATAGTCATCACAACTCTCTTTGTGTTTCACTGCACCTTGGGCTTTTGTGAACTGATCAGCAATGTTTTATTCAGTCATACAATATTCCAATCTTATTAAACCATCCTTTACAGATTGTCTTACATTCAGATATCTAAGATCTGTATGCTTAGATCTCGTTTTTACAGCAATATTTGTAGCCATCTGTATGGCTGCTTGATTGTCCTCATTACACAACAATGGAATCATTAACAGTTAATCCCATATCCAATAACAACTGTTTATACAGAATTAAATCAGTACATAATAAGGATAGACATGAAAATTCTGCTTCCATTGTGGACATACTTATGTGTTGCTGTCTAATTGACCTCCAACCAATCAATGCTTTTCCTAGTAGTATAGCCATTCCTGAAGTTGATTTCCTAGTGTTTATATCTGTTGCAAAACTTGCATCAGCATATGCACTTAAAATCAAATCATCTTTTGGCTCCAAATACAATGCATAGGATAAAATAGTGTAATTTAGTGAAATATTTGTGAATAAAATAAGTGAAATAAAATAAATGAGAAAATTGAACTAGGAAGGAATGGGTACATTTTAATTAGTTCATGTTTTATAAAATATAAGTGAAGGGGGAGAATTAACTATGGAAAGCTTATAATTGTTCCCATAGAAGTATGATATTTAATTGAAAAGTAATGTTAAAGATGTTAAGACTTTAATGAATATTAATATTAATGATAGAATTGAATTGGAATGGAATGTTGTTTTAATTATATGCATTTATAATTTTTTTCTTTTTTTAAGAATACAGTGTGTATTTTAAGAATGTACTAAGCAGAATCCGAATGGAAGCTATGTATTATATTGAATGTTACAACTTTAGGGAAAAGATATAAAGGCGTCATACTCCAATCAATAACTACAGGAGAAATTTTGTTTAATGAGAAAATATAATAGATAATTGAAACAGGACAGACAAAAAATATAAATACAATGATTTGAATTGAGATGAGATAATTAAAATAAAGTTGAGAAAATTAAAAGAGGGGAGAAGCTATGCAGAAAATGTAAAATAGTAATAAGATATGGAATAGAATATGAAAATGAGCATGAACCTGAATTTGTACCAAGAAATGATTATGCTGCTTTCAAAAAAAGATGTTTTATTTGTATTTTTTTTTCTCTTTGTGAAAACTCAAATAAAATTTAAAAAAAAAAAAAAAAACCCATAATAAATACTTTTTAATTTCACAACATATGGCCAGACTTAATCTTAGTTTCAACTGAGAAATTGTGACCATCCTAGACCAAGCCATGTTCAAAAATGATATTTCTGGAATTTCTAGAAGCCTGGCACTCCGACAAAATACCATACCAGAAAAGACCTTCCTCTTATGTTAAACCATGTGTAACTCCCAAACAGACAGGTCAAAAAAGGTAAAAGAAGAGATACCTATTCATCTACTTGCATTTGTATGCTTTTGAACTGCTAAGTTAGCAGGGGCTAGGTGGTCACATAGAGAAGAAACAGAAGCTTTAGACAGGAGCTCACCTGTTCACATGGAGCTCGGGTCTTGAACTTGGAGTGCTGGCTTTCCAACTGACAAGCCCAGAATCTTAACCATTCAGACACTTGTCACCCACCCCCACAAACAGTCAAGACACATAGTTGATTTCTTCCAAATCTTATGGGATGGTCAGACAAACTCAGGTGGCTATGGTCCCATAAATAACCCAGCCTTAAACCATAAAAGTTCAAAACCAGCACATTGAATTGGATCCAACAGCCAACTGGCAACCAATGGAACTCATAGTACAGAGATGTAATATGCATCATTCTGGAAGCACACATAACTATCCACACCATTGCATTGTACATCTGGTGAAGCTTCTGAAAACCTTTCAAAGACAGCCCTATGTAGCCCACTTGGGAGTTTGACTAGGGCTTAAGTGACCAGGAGCAATGATTCCCAATCTAGGAAGGGGCTCAAATACTGCACAGCACATTAACTTGTGCAAAGGTCCTCCTAGAAATACTTCCACCTGCTCTTCATGACAGACCCACATTAGGAGGTTCTGTGGGTGTGGTTTGGTGGGCAAGGAAGGAGAAACATACTATAAAATCTCCATTCCCACCCCACCCCACTAACCTGCTTTCATGCTCCGTTCTCCTGTGCAGGACAACAAAAGAAGGCCCAGCCAATTAGCTGGGACTCAGGAGGCAGAAAATAGATTGGGGTGGGGCCAATCAGAAGTATATTTTCTGGTTCTCCAAACTACTCAAAATTTCCACTACCAGTTCTGATCAGAACTGGTCAGAACCTGCTGAATATAATTTCTGGATGAGAGGCAGAAACCTATAAAGAACGGTTGCTGGAACTGGGTATGTCTAGCCTGATGAAAAGAAGGACTAGGGGTAACATGATAGCACGATTCCAATATCTCAGGGGCTGCCACAAAGAAGAGGGAGTCAAGTTATACTACAAAGCACCTGAAGGCAGGACAAGAAGCAAAGGGTGGAAACTAATCAAGGAGAGAAACAACTTAAAACTAAGGAGAAATTTCCTGATAGTTAGAACAATTAATCAATGGAACAATTTGCCTCCAGAAGCTGTAAATGCTCCAACATTGGAAGTTTTTAAAAAGAGATTGGATAACCATTTGTGTGACATGGTGTAGGTTTGCCTAAGCAGCAGGGGGTTGGACTAGAAGACCTCAAAGGTCCTTTCCAGCTCTGTTTTCTATTGTGTTCTGTTCTGTTCTGTTCTGTTCTATTCTATTCTATTCTATTCTATTCTATTCTATTCTATTCTATTCTATTCTATTATCAGCCATGATATGGCAAGTTCCAAACTTTTAATCAAATGTTTAATGCATTTTTTACATTATTAAATTCAATACAGTGTTTTATGTTTTTTACTTGTACATTATTGAGAAACTCACCTGGAGTGAGATGGTCTCAGAAGTTCGATAAATAAATACATTTTATTGCTGATTTTATTTTTTCATTTATAAACTAGTGGGGAAATGTTGCAGGACTTCAAAAATAAACTCAGGATTTTGACCACTGCCAGAAAGATATCTGAGGGATACTTTAACCTTGAATTTTTTGACAAATGTTTGCACACAACTGTTTACAAGGTAAAAGCATCACTTGTCCTCTTCAAAGACATTAGAAGACACTGCAGAAAGTAAATTTGGGGGTAAGAAACAATAAGAAACAACAATTTATGTTTTTATTAAAAGTTTATTTGATAGCATGGAGATAAAATAAGATAGCAAGAAGGTCTATGTTTAATATTGCAGAAATGTTATGACATGTATACATTCTCCATTCTATAATGACCTAAACTAAAGGCACAATTACTCTACGTGGCTAGCATATGATATTAGAACCTGGCAATACACAGAGAAAAATGCATTATTTAATCATTATTTTTATTAATTACGCCTTGTTTACTTCAAGTCTCAGCAGAGTGAGGAAGCAGTTCAAGGAAAAAGACACATACAAATAAATCAGCGCTGGAAATCAAGGTGAAAAAGATCTCCACAGCCACCATATTTTGTCGTTCTGCTCACATAGGCTGTGGTTGTGCTCACAATGATTGGCACAGAGGAAATGCATACTGCAAAAGACCAACATGTTAAAGAGGATGGACTTAGCTTCATTGAAGCTTGCAGGTATTTTACAGGCAGATGAAGTCATGATAAACCTTGTGAAAGCTATGTGGCCTATATAGACAGGACTAAGTAAAACTTTAAAACTGTCTATGGTAGGGGTGTCAAACTTAATTTCTTTGAGGGCTGAATCAGGCTTTATTTGATGTGGAGGGCCAAAGTGGGTGTGGCCAGCTTGAAATTACTTGGGTTGGGGGTGCCTCTGGCGGTCAGAGCTCTCTGCCATTGAAAATGGGATCTCACGCTCTGTTTGCAGCTGCCACAACCTCCAGCAACCCCCTGCCAGTGAAAATGGAGCTCAGAAGAGCGATATGCAACCCTCCCAAGCTCTGTTTCTGCTGGCAGAGGCACTGTGGGCCAGTCCTTTGCAGTTTTCAGGGTGGCCCTGTAGGCCAGATCTAAGCACTCCATGGGCTGAATCTGGCCTCTGGGCCTTGAGTTTGACACACCTGGTCTAAAGATAATCTCAGTCATTCAGATCATTTTTGTTCCAAATGTGCTTTTTCAAAAGGCAACTGGACTTTCTGATTTATTTATTTATTTTTGAAGCTATTTTGCTTCTCATCCAAGAAACTTCTTCAGCTTCTACTTCAGTTTTTCTTCAGAAGCAACATGTCTTCAAAGAAAAACCAGAAAGTCCAGTCCAATTGCCTCTTTAAAAAAGACCTTTGGAATGACCTTCATTACATTGCTGAATCACTTCTTCAGTAACTGAGAACAAACCTAATTTAGGAAATGGAGGAGAGATTATAACTACATAACACAAATGTTGGCTTTGAAAGTTGGAAGGAAGATTGAAAAGGGACAGTCTTTAATTTTTCTTTGCTAAATCCTTCCCTTTTTCTTCATAAATAATGATGTAAATATAATTTAATTGTTTCGTTTGATTAGTTGGTGCCTGCTATTGAGTTCTGGCCTCAACACAATGATGAAGCATTTTGGGAAGAAGATGCATGCCAATAATCCAGCACTGGAGGATAAGATGGAGAAGATCTCCACAGCTACCATGGCTTTTCCTCTGGTGCTCAGATAGGTTGGAACAAAAGAGATCCAGACACTGCAGAAAGCCAACATGCTGAAGGTGATGAACTTGGCTTCATTAAAGCTATCAGGTAAATTACGGGCAAGAAAAGCCACAATAAAGCTGGCGATGGCCAAGAAGCCCAGATAGCCCAGCACACAATAGAACATGAAGATGGAACCTTCATTGCATTGCAGAATCATAGTTTCCATCAGGAACTGCATATTTAACTCAGGATAGGGAGGAGATGTTGCCAACCATATAATGCAAAGAACTGCTTGAAGAAAAGAACAAGAAAAGACAATGGAAAGAGCCAATCTTTTTCCCACCCATTTTCTCATTGAAGAACCTGGTTTAGTAGCCATGAAAGCTACAACCACCGTAATAGTTTTAGCTAACACACATGAAACAGCAACGGAGAAGATGATGCTGAATGCTGGTTGCCGGAAAAGGCAGGTTACTTTCCCTGGCTGACCAAGGAATAGCAAGGAAGAGAGAAAGCACAGTAAGAGGGAAATAAGGAGAGTGTAAGTGAGGTCCCGGTTATTGGCCTTGGCAATGGGGGTATCTCTACGCTTAAGGAAAATTCCAAGCACACTGATTGTCATGAAGGAAAAGGAAACAGCAGCTGAGGCTAGACTGATTCCTAAAGGTTCTTCAAAGGACAGGAAACTCATTGTTTTGTTAAGGCATCGATCTTGCACTTTGCTTGGATACTGATCCTCAGGACACTTGAAACAATCTTCGGTGTCTGGATAAAAAAAAATCAAATGGAAACTCATTGATGTCCTAGTTACCATATTTCAATGAATGTTTTATACTATTGCTTGAACATTGATATTGATTCTGCGAATAGTTTTTGGTATACTTATATTAACAGAATAGAAGAATTGGAAGGGACCTTAGAGGTCTTCTAGTCCAACACCTTTCTCAAGCAGGAGAACCTATACCATTTTAGACAACTGGTTATCTAAACTCTTTTGTGGGTGCTCCAAACCCTCCACAGCTGCCCTCTTCTCAGAACCCACAACTTCTGGAGGTAAGTGATTCAACTGGTTAATTGTTTTGTTAGGAAATGTGTCCTTAATTCTAGGTTGGATCTCTCCTTGATTACTTTCACAATATCTATTGTTCCTTGTCACTTGACCATTAGTTGGTCAGATTCTTGTAGAGACCTTAAAATTACAATACATCTTTATTCTCATTTGAACTCCCCGAATCTCCTGATTTTCCAGGCACTTGACATAAATATCCATGAAAAATTATAACGTTTGAAAGAACAACTTTTTGCAGCACAATATTTTCATAATTTGTAGGACTTCAAAACTGACCTATCTCAGTTGAAATCTTTCCCTGTGGACATGCAACACAGTCGTAGCAGCAGAAACTTTTCTCTTCAGATTTTCTCTTCCAATATCCAGGGTGACAATATTCATTACACAGAGAAACTGGAAGAACCTGCTCATAAAATGAAAAATAGATTGCAGAAATAGTTGCCAAGTTGTTAAGCTTTTTCATCAACTGAAAATAGTGTGTGTGTGTGTGTGTGTGTGAATGAGTGAGATAGATAGATAGATAGATAGATAGATAGATAGATAGATAGATAGATAGATAGATATAACAAAAATCATGGTCAGCATGGAACAGTTGGAGGCATTTTAATATTTTCCATTTATGGAAGCTGTAAAACTCTAAGCATTCAATGTATATGTAGGTCCCTACAGTGGTGGGATTCGTGCTGGTTCTGCCGAAGCTGTTGTTAATTTTTTGTATAGTTCAGCAAACTAGTTGTTTCCACCACTGGTTGCCCCTTCCCTTCCCACTGGGGTTTCCATTCAGGATGGGGGAGTTGCAAGGGCATGACTGGGAGCTGCACTGATCAGCTGGGATGCAGCAATGGACTAGCAGCAGGCTGATCAGTCAGTTCAATCAGACCTTACAACTTCACAAGATCTTTCCCCCCCCAAGAAGTTGGAAGATCTGAGTGAATTCTTCTTTTGTTGCCCTGCATGCAGGAGAACAGAGCTGGAAAGCAGATTAGTGAGGGAATGGTGGTGGTTCTGAAATGGGATGGAAGTGAGGATTTTGCATTATTTTTGCTCTGGGATGGGGTGGAATTGAGGATTTTGCTTTATAATGCAAACACTGCCCACCCATGCCCACCCAGCCATGTCCACCCATTATTTGTATCCCACCACTGGGCCCCTACCCGATTAAAACCTCTGTGCCATTCAATCTGATGTTCATTAATGATCAATTCATTTCCATAAGATGCATCTGGATCTAGTCTTCCAACTTTCACACTCCGGATGGACTTGTTTGGAAAAACGATCATGTTGATGATATCAAATCCTCCTGCAAATTCCCTTTTCTCATTAAAGGACACTCCTTCTCCTGCTGAGTTGTTGAAAGAAGTGCCTTGAAGAAATGGGTGGAGCTACTTGAAAAGAAAGCAGTGAAGTTGAAATAACAATAAGGAAAGAAATCAACATTAGATATTTTATCTTCTATTTCTGAAATTCTTGGATCCTGCAACATTATCCTGGGACATGTATATTCACTTTGCTATGTAAATATCCAGTTTTGCTCAACAGAACAAGAAGTCGGCCCACAAAGTATTGTCAATGAATAACATACACAGGATTAGGTGATGCAATCTTCCCTGTGGAGAAAGTTAACTGCAATTTCATTGGGGCAGAGAAGATCATTAAGCTTTTTAAAATCATATAAAATCAACCATTCTTCATGTTTTAGCCCCCTAATCATTTTTGTTTCTCTTCTCTGCACTCTTTCTAGAGTCTCAACATCTTTTTTACATCATGGTGACCAAAACTGAATGCAGTGTTACAAGTGTGGCCTTACCAAGGCCTTATAAAGCAGTATTAATACTTCACATGATTTTGATTCTATCTCTCTGTTAATGCAATTTAGGATTGCATTAGTTTTTTAGGCAGCTGCTGCACACTGCAGGCTCATATTTAAATGGTTGTCAACTAGAACTCCAAGATCCCTCTCTCAGTTACTGCTATTGAGCAAGTTACCACATATACTATACCTGTCCCACGCTTTCCACCACATTAAAAAGTAACCATTTCCTTTTCCTCCCAAACAATAAATCACATTGTTCAATCTGGATACTAGCTGGTTGCCTGGTTATATGTCTTCTCCTCCTCCTGGCCAGCTATTGGAAAATCCCTGACTCTTTGGAAAGCTATGTTGACTACAAGCCCACATCTACCTCTACCCCATTTCAGCTCCCAAGCTGTGTCAGCATGAAGCCATGTGGAAAGAAACCCCAATAGGAAAGGCCCACATACAAAGAGAAAGGAGAACAAGCTACAGTCAGGTCAGCTTCTGGCTTGACATAATATCTACTTGAACAACATATTAATTAAGGTTTAGCTAATTTTGTGAGCTAATTTATTCTTTATAAAATTCTTCATTGAAAGAAAAGTTTGTTGGAGAAATGTTACCTTAAAAGGTTGTAGTTCTGGAGATTCAGCCACTTTATCTGCCAATTTTTTTCTCAAATTGGATCTCTTGGATAGCATACCATGCAAAGAATGAGCCGCAGCATAAACCCCATTATGGATGCTGTAGCTGTGCCCTGTTATCTTTAATTGAAAGAGAGATTCAGGAAGGTTTCCAAGGCCTTCTTCCCCAGTGCATTCTTGACTTCCCAATGACGCCAATCCTGAATTAGGGAAAAAACAGTCAAATGCTTGCTCCCAAAAATGGTTTCGAAATCCATCTCTTTGTCCTGTGTAAGATTTTATGGACCGGAGAAATTCCTCGAATTTCATATTTTCCCTTGAATGAATTTGAAAGGCAATGGCCCCATCATAAAATTGGAGGTTCCATACCCTTTGGGTTCCTGTTAATGTGAAATCAATTTGGCTGGTGGTGATCCACACCTTGCTTATGTGTGCCTTTCCCGGATTTGCAGCTTCCCATATAGATTTGAGAGCTGTCAGCCAGGCTAAGGTCAAAGATTCTCCATACATAATGTATGCATTTGTTTTAATGTCTGTGAAATGTGTATAAAAATCAAACATTATATTGCTAAATTCGCCCAAGTCGTCCAAACGCAACAGTTTTGGAAATCTTTGTATGAAAGATAAACAAATTCCCTGCTGGAAAAACAAGTGCTCCAATTTCTGCAAAAAATGTTCTCCACTCTCGGTGTCTGCAACAAAGAGCCCAATCCATTTCCATCCAAAATGCTGAAGCAATCGGATAATCCCAATATATTGGGGGACCTCATTTGGGGCCATAAAGTAAAGTGAAGATGATTGACTGGTATCAACCTCTCCCATAGGAAATGATCCGTATGTGAGCTAAAAGAAAACACCAAGCCATGAAGTTGAAGAGAGTTTTCATTTTGCCTTAGGCATTTTTATGGATCATTTCAAAAACTGAATAGATATATCAGAATTTAGTCCTTATCCATAACTTCTCAAATGTTTGAAAATGTAGATAAATTTCTGGAGAATCATTATCTCATTCAACCTAACAGTAAATGTGTTAAAATGCCAGCAGCATTTTAACACAACACAATGGAGTCAATTCTATTCAACAGAATATAGTTTAGTTTAGTTTATTGTTATTGCACATCATACAACAAAATTAAATACCATCTTCAGTGTACATTATGATTATGAAAATAAATACAAACACATATTCTTCACATTCTATACAATGAATTGAAACCCCTTGATTGCACTGTACAATAGAATTCAATAATGTTACTGCTTCGGGATAGAAGTTATTTTTCAGCCTATTTGTCCTTGTTTTTATTATCCTGTACCATCTGCTGGATTGTAATAATTCAAAAAAAAAAAAGTGCCCGGGATGAAATGGATCTTTGAGAATGTATATGGGGAATATATATTTTATCATGAAAACTATTGCAAAAAAGAAAGCCAATATGCCACAGTGGTTAAAGTGTCAGACTAACAATTGGAAGACTTCTAGTCCAACCTTAGGCACAAAACCAGCTGGATGATCTTGGGTGAGCCCTATGAAGTATAGCAAACCACTTCTACAATCTTGCCACAAGAATACTGTAGGGACATATCCTGGCAAGAAGCTAGCAAGAAAGTTATAACTAAGACCTAGGGAGTAACTGAAAATTACTCAGCCAGCATAAGTGATAAGACATTTGAGTGCTACTTTCCCTTTTTCTGCACAAATATCTTTCCTAGTTGACTCTATGAATGAATGAATGCATGCATGGATGAATGTCCCAATAATTGCAGTAATAAATGCAGGAAAAATTACAAGAGCAATTTTCTTTATTTTAACTAGACCCTAAAGTGCAGGGACCCTGACTTATTGGGGGTGTCTAGTTTAATGAAAAGAAGGACTAAGGTTATTATGATAGTACTGTTCTAATATCTAAAGGGCTATCAGGAAGAAGAGGGGGTCAACCTATTCTCCAAAGCACAAGATAGTAGGAAAAGGAGCAATGATGGAAACTAATCAAGGAGAGGAGCAACTTAGAACTAAGGAGGAATTTCCTGAAAGTTGAGAACAATTAATCAATGGAATAGCTTCCCTCCAGAAGTTGGGGGTGCTCCATCACTGGAGGATTTTTAGAAAGAGACTGGACAACCACTTGTCAGGAATGCCATAGGGTCTTCTGCTTGAGCAGGGTTGAACTACAAGACCTCCAAGGTCCCTTCCAACTCTATTATTCTGTTATGTATTCACCATGGAATCTAATTTAGATTTTGAGTCACTTAAATCTTACGTGAGATTTGTGAGAAAGAACACAAAAAATGCTCTTGGTTATTCTTAATCAATTGGTTAATCTTTTCATCAATTAAAAAGAACAGGTCAAGTCCCCTAGACTCACCTGTGGAATCTTGTAAAAATCTACCATGTCTGCTATATGGGATGAAGTATCTGATCCAAGTCCTCCAATGATGGCCATGAGATTTTTCCTGGTGCCACATCTGTAGTTGGGGGCAAATATATGTGATTTGAAGACCATGTCCAGAGTGGTCCGATAAGTCATCTTTGGATTATTGTAGCTGTCATAGATGTGAAATCCAAAGGTAACATTGGGCAAGATTTGTGGATTGTCATTGATCTCCTTCACAGTGAAGACAAAGGAAAGGACATGCTGGTAAAATTTTGTGATGAGACTGCAAGTAAGGAAAGTCTTCAGAAAACAAATCTATGATGCATAGAACAGTATTAAAAAAAATAGTGATTTCTGCCTGTGATTAAATTTTTTACAATATAGTGCCAATATTTCTAATCTATTAAACATTTTTGGCTACAGTCTATGTAATATCGTATTTATGAATGATTACATACTTCATTCACAGAGTGTTGCTCATAGTAACAAATACTAATAATAAAGTTTTTAGGATTTTAATGCAATATTCAATGGCAAGATTATGTTCTAAATGTATTCCACTTTTCTCTTTACCTCTCCTAAACAAATTATTGCAGGAATTGGGTATGGCCAGTCTAAAGAAATGGAACTAGGGGTGACATGATATCAATATTCCAGTATTTGAGGAGCTGCCACAAAGAAGAGGGATTCAACTTATTTATCCAAACAGATTTAACATCTAGTCCAACCCCCCCGCCCCCAAGTGGGAGCCCCTACATGATTTCTGAAAAATGGCAGTCCAATCTCTTCTTGAAAGTCTCAAGTGATGGCGCTCTCACAACTTCCAAGGGCAAGCTGCTCCATTGGTTGATTGTTCTCACTATCAGAAAGTTTCTCCTTATTTCTAGGTTAAATCTCTCCTTGTTCAGTTTCCATCCATTATTCCTTGTCTGGACTACAGGTGCTTTAGAAAATAGCTTGACCCCTTCCTCTCTGTGGCAGCCCCTCAAATATTGAAAGACTGCTGTCATGTCTCCCCTGGTCCTTCTCTTTACTAGACTATCCAAGCCCAGTTCCTCAAACCGTTCATTGTATGTTTTAGCCCCCAGTCACCTAATCATCCTGGTTGCTCTTCTCTGTACTTTTTCTAGAGTCTCAACATCTCTTTTATAATGTGGTGAACAAAACTGGATTCAGTACTCTAAGTGTGGTCTTACTAAGGCTTTATAGAGTGGTATTAGTACTTCCCTTGATCTTGAATGTATCCCTCTGTTAATACAATTCAGATGGCATTAGCTTTTTTGGCTGCTGCTGCATACTGCTGGCTCATATTTAGCTGATTGTCCACTAAGGCTCCAAGATCCCTCTCCCAGTTACTGCTATTGAGCCTGGTTTCACCCAGTCTATATGTGTACTTTTGGTTTTCCTTGCCTAAGTGTAGGACTTTACTTTTCTCTACATTGAATTTCATTTTGTTAGATATGGCCCAGTGTTCTAGTCTGTCAAGATCTATCTGGATCTTGAGACTATCTTATTGAGTGTTAGCTATTCCTGCCAGCTTAGTATCGTCTGCAAATTTGGTAAGTTCTCCTTCTGTTCCCTCATCTAAGTCGTTAATGAAGATATTGAAGAGTACTGGGCCTAAGATGGAACCTTGTGGCATCCCACTGCTTACTTCCCTTCATGTAGACTTAGACCCATTAAGGATTACTCATTGAGTACGGTTTGCCAGCCAGTTGAGAGTCCATCTAGTGGTGGTGCTATCTATTCCACTTTTTTCTAGCTTACTAAGAAGTAGGTTGTGGTCTACTTTGTCAAATGCCTTGCTGAAATCTAATTAAATTCTACCCACAGTATTTTGCTGGTCTACTAATTTAGTTACTCTGTTGAAGAATGAAATAAGATTGGTCTGGCATGATCTGTACCTAACAAACCTGTGCACCAGAAGGCAAGCCAAGAAACAATGAATGGAAACTGATCAAGGGGAGAAGCAACCTGGAATTAAGGGGAAACTTCCTGACAGTGAGGATCTGTTGAAAAAACTTGCCCTAAAAAGTTGTAGGTGTTCCATCACTGGAGGTTTTTAAGAAAAGACAGGAAAGCCACATGTCTGAAGTGGTATAGAGCCTCCTGCTTGAACAAGGGGTTGGGCTAGAAGACCTCCAAGGTCTCTTCTAACTCTATCCTGATTGATTGAAACTTAACTATTTATTCTTCTTTTCTGGCTAATTTCTGTGGACCTACAGAAGAATATATGAATAATGGAACAAGCTGTCCCCTATTGCTTTTATTACTGTAGCATCAGAGTTAGGATAATGCTGTAGGGGATAGAAGGGTGATGATACTGTGGAATAAAAGCTACTACATCTGTTAATTCAGACACCTGGCAGCAAACACAAATGCAAAAAGGAATAGCAGAGCCTGACAGAAGCACTCAACAGGTTGACCTTCCCTGAACAGATAAAAAAGGAAAAATGTTGGAGAATAATCAGTTCCTACAGTAAGAATAGCCCAGATTCAAATCTTCCTGGCCCCAATGTCCACTCATTATAGTCCAAACTGGAATTTCAGAAATTGGCTTAAGAACCAACTAAAAACTGCAAGAGAGACCAACAGCTTAGGTTGCAGTGTGGAATTTCTCAGAATCTTTTAGAAACTAATTCTACAGTGAATGACTTAGTTGGGAATGAAGAATCCACATTTCTTCCAAATCAGTATTTATAATTTAAGATAAAACACTTCAAATTTCAGATTGGTATTCCTTGAGCACCATGTTTTATGCTGCTTTCCTTTCTAAACTCCTTCAGCTATAATTTGTTAAGTTATAAAGATCACTGAAGATAAATCTCTAATTCTGTCTTTCAAATAAACTTAGTTTGAAGTTGGACATTGAAGCTCTCTTTCTAAAAAAATTACAAACCTCTAAATTCTATTCTTATTTTACTTAATCGGTTGAAGATATCTTTTAATTCTTTTCTTTTTTCATTTTATTAAATCCTTCTGTCTTAAAGAATGGTGACCTAGCAATTCATATTCGCCCTTTTCCTAAAAAACAAAATGAAGTATCTTAAAAGTCTTATTTAGCCCACAGCTCAAAACTCAATGAAAACTCAAGCAGTTACTTGACCAGATCTGTTTAAATCTGCTTTCTTTGAATAGGTTTTAACTCAAAAGAATAGTTGCCGACATATAGAAAAGCTGAGAAGAAACAAAGAAACATTAGGTGAAAAAGACTGTAGAATTTGCTTACTCTGAAAGTCCATAGAGGTCCTGAGATGGGTGTTCTTTGAATGTATGTTCACTGAAGCCATAAAGATGCTGTGAAGCAATCCCTCCGATGAGGAGATCACCTGGTTGGAACCATTCATGTGGAATAGGAATAGGATCAGATTCTGGGCACTTGAGGGCATTCACTTTGATCACTGGGAACATCAGTATGAATAAAACATCAGCAGCCAAAAAATCCTCTAAAAGAGGTCTCCAACATATCAAGCCACACCAATGGATCTGACTTAGCATACTAGAGTTTCTCAACACACCTCCTAAGGAAAAAAAAAAGAATCAATGAAAATCTTTAACATCAATAGAGATACAGACATGTGTGTTTGAATAATTACTGAGGTTTTTACAACTCAAATCTAACATTGGTCTGATCAAAGAAAGAAAAGAGGCTGGAGGAATTGATTATTAATAATCCGGTTGGGCTCTTCCCACCACCCAACCTCTCCATGGAACTGGGACTGGTTTATAACCTCTTTCAACCTTGCTTTCTATTGTTCACTGCTTTCTGGAAAATCTCTGGAGCTTTGAGCAAATGACAGTCATTTGAACCAACTCCAGGAAGAGTTACCTGTTAAAAGTATTTTCCCCCATAAATGGCCTTAAAAATGAAAAAAACCAAACTTATAATTGCTAATTGTCAAAGTGAGAAAGTTACTTCCTCTTTCTAATATAAAAGTAATTCCAAAAATCAAATGATTTTTATGATAATACACACATGGACCCAGACAGAATGAAAAATATTGTTTTTATCTATCCTAATTGAGAGTACAAAATAGGGGCAGGAGCTTGCAGAGAACTATAAAATTGTCCATATAGTATATTGTGCATGACATGCCTTCTGCCCCTTTCCAACTTTTAATGCTTTTTCTTTAAAAAAAATATTTTATTTCATTTGGATGCCATCAAACTCTAATTTACTTTGAGTGATTCACAACAATAAACTCCAATTGACTCTGGGTAACTCACAATAATAACATAAAGTTTGGAAAACCCAAAATACATAGGATTAACCACAGAGCAAACATAAGACATTAGAGAAGTATCAACTTGTAAAGCAAATTGGACTCCTTTCGAGTTGCCATAGGGAGGGAGGGAGGAAAGACCTGAAAGAGCAGCAAGGCAATCAAAACCAGAAGTGCATTCCATGCATACCTTACCAAGTCTGTATCCTGGGTTACCAATCCAGTTGGAGGGGTGTGATCTCTAGAGCCTGTGTGATTTATGACACACCCAGGGGTGGGGTGGGGGGAGAAACAGGGTCATAGATGCACCATAAATTATATGAGTCAGAATTGGCTTCATTAGGATAAGTGCCAACATGTCGCTCCTAATAAACAATTGGATTTCTTTTGAAGTTTGGCTCGAGGCTCATGATTTGATTAGAGCATTTGTCAGAACCCTAACAAGAAGTCCCTTTCAAATAATACCATTTTTTTATAATAATATACCTTTTAAACATTAACAAAAAGATGTATTTAGATTTTTATGGCAGTTCAAGGAACCAAGAATTAAACTTAAAATTCTACAAGATGCAAAAGACATTGGAAGACTAGGATTAGCTCAATTGAAATTGTATTTTGCAGCCTGTTGTTTAATTTGTAGAATACAATAGAACAGAATAGGAATAGAAATAGAAATAGAAATAGAAGAGAAGAGAAGAGAAGAGAAGAGAAGAGAAGAGAAGAGAAGAGAAGAGAAGAGAAGAGAAGAGAAGAGAAGAGAAGCTTGCAGATCTTCTAGTCCAGCCCCCTATCCAGCAGGAAACCCTATAGTGAGTGTCTAGACTCTTCTTAAAAACTTCCCCGATGGTGTGCCTATGATTTCTGAAGGCAAGCTGTTCTACTAGCTAATTGTTCTCACTGTTAGGAAGTTTTTACTTAATTCCAGGTTGCTTCTCTCTTTGATTAGTTGGTGCTTTAGACAATAATTTGACCCCTTCCTCTTTGTGGCAGCCTCTCAAATACTTGAAGACTGCTATCATGTCACTTCTAATTCTTTTTTTCTTTAGACTAGCCAAACCCAGATCCTGCAGTTGTTTTTCATATGCTTTAGTCTCCAAGCTTTTGATCATCTTAGTTTTCTCTTCCCTGAACTTTTTCCAAAGACTCAACATCTTTTTTGTAATATGGTGACCAAAATTGATTGCAGCATTCCAGGTGTGGTCTTACTAGGGCTTTATAAAGTGGTACTAATACTTTACATGATCTTGAGAGATTGGGTCTTGCTAAAAATAAAAGAATGTTAGAATTGGAATATTGGAATAATACTTTCAGTGTGACACTTCTTACATAGTAATTTTCAAAATCCCTGTAACTTTGTTATAGCCTAAAAATCCATGCTAACCTAAACTTTTAGGCTTTTCACCTGTTTTTGAAGATAATAGAGGAATCTTATTTCTTTGATTCAACTATCTTTCCGTCTCTACCATATACATAGCAAACTTATATCTGTTAGAATTATTATATTAAATAAAAAATAGGCTAAATTGACTGGCATGACACAATTACATTTAAAGAAGTAGCAAATCTAAATATAACCACAAAGGTAAAATTTACAAATGAATTCAACCCTCATTTTTTATTAGAAAGTTTCTTTTTTTAAAGTGAGAATCTAAGAGGGTGAACTCTAGTGCCAGCAAGATTGTGTAATATCAATAAATGAATTTGTTTTATAACCATAAAATGTGAATATTATTTCCCTGTCAACTTGTAAAGTATTCCTGGCTTGCTATTGAGTTGCCATAAGAAGGAAGGGGGAGATCTGATGGAGCAGTTTGTTGCTATTATCAGAAGCCCATTTCACACATATTTTTCTCCAGATTGTGTCTCAGGTTACCAAGCCCAGCCAGAGAGGCATGTTTTCCACAGCCCACAAAAGTGCTTCATTGGAAAATGTGATTTATGACACAAACTGGGAAGAGGAGGAAACAGAGTCATAGGTGAACAGTAAATTACATAGGGCAGAGCTGACTGTACTTGGGGAAAATGCCAACATGTTGCTCCTAATAAATAATTGGATTTCTTTTGAAACTTGGCTCAAGGCTCATGGATTAATTAGAGCATTTCTTGGAACCCTGGCATTTCCTTTTCTTGCTCTGAGTTTGTTCATTTTGCTGATTATGTTGCCCTTATTAGAAGCAAACCCAATTTTTCATAAGAAACTAGAACTAAAATATGTCAACAATGTCAAGTCTGAGTGGTTCTGCATTTTAAGGACTATATAATTTTGGTGTTAGATTGGGTGACATTGCCTCAGACAGACCTGGTGCACAATCTGGGGATCTTCCTGATATTTACAAGTCCTGCTCAGAGTACAGGTGTTAGCCATGGCTAGGAGGGTCTTTGTACAACTTTGTCTTGTGTGGACCATCCCCTAAAACAGCAGGCTGTGCTCACAGATTCTCAGGCCCTAGTCAAGTCCAGATGAACTATTGCAATGCACTGTACCCAGAGATGGGCTTCAAAAATTTCAGTAATCGGTTCTCTGCCCAGTTGTTGGGTGGGCATGGCCATGGTGGGCATGGCCAAGTCAGCTTCCTGAACCCTCCCCAAGCTCAAGGGAGGATGAAAATGATCTCCCCTGAGCTCCAAAGGCCCTCTGGAGCCCAGAAATGGGCCCATTTCCACCCTTCTAGAGTCCCAAGCAGGCCCATTTTTTGCCCTCTCCAAACTCTACATGGGCCCTGCATGTACCTCACATCCAAAACAGGCAGCATGGAGATTTCTGGGCAGGGTAGGGTGGGAGTGGCAGGATGGGGTGGGTGAGGCCAGCCAGCGGTTGGATCTTCCAGTTGCTATTTCTTCCTTCAAAGATAGGTTGACTCTGTTAAGTCTGGGGGGTGGGTCCCAAGGAGAGACGAGACTCGTAGTAGTGAACAACAGCTCTTTATTAAGCAACCAGATACTGAGACAAAAACCCTAGCCACGGCTGCTCTTTTTATAGAGCTGGCAGCCAATGACAGGTTTTTGAGCTTGCCGCACTTGGTGTTAGCCAATCGCGGCAAGCTCTATATGAGCCAATCAGAGTGTCCCATAATGACCAATCATGGCCCGGCTTTTCTGGACCAATAGGAATACAGGCCTTCAAGCCTGCTAGTGCAGAACACCCCTCCCTTCTTGGTTCCATCCGAGGGGCGGGGAAACGTAGTTGCGCAAGTAGACAGGTCTTTGGACCTGTCTACTTGACTTGCGCAATTCACAATGTCTTTGGTCATCATCAGGTTCGGACGGGCTCCATGTCAAACAGCGTCCAGGAACTTACACTCGGAATGTGGATGATCTCCTCCGCAGCCGACACATTGGTACCCCGACTTGCGACCCCGCCGGTCTTGCCGCTTGTGCTCTGACTGAAGTCTGTGAACTTCTTCCTCTTCACTGTCAGAGAGGGATTCGATGTCGCCATGGTGGGTTGAGGCTGTGAGTTTCTCTGGTGTCGTGGTCGGCTCACTGGTGGATTTGCGATTGGTACCATTCAAATGCTGCATTCGCGCTGCTGACTTATGTGTAGCCTCGGCTGCAGTGGCTTTGGCTATGGCATCGGCGAGGGATATATCACCCTTGGCCATCAATCTGCTTTGGAGTGCTGGATCTTTTAGGCTGAGGATGACCCGGTCTCGCATGGCCTCATCTAGGTTAGAGAACCCGCATAAGTCCCCTAGGTCTCTCAGGTCAGCTACGAACTCACTGATGCTTTCACCCTCACACTGATCATGCTGGTAAAAGTCATGCCTTCTGATAAGGGTCGGTACAGCCAGGGCGTAGTGGTTTCGGAGGATGGGAGCTAGGTTGTCCCAGTCCATAGTCTTGACATCAGCGGGCTTCGCGAGCACCTTGGCCATTTTAAAAACAGCGGGTCCGCAGTGTGTCAAAAAGACCACTTGCTTCTTGCTGCTGGTGGGGTCTTTCAGGTTGTTCGATTCGAAGAACATTTGGAAACGATCAATGTAGGACTCCCAGTCCTGGCTGGCCGGATTGAATGGTGCAGGTGGCACGGTGCTGCTAGCCATTTCGCTGGTCATCTTCACGCTGTCTGCCACGTGCTGGTCAGCCTTGCTGTCCCAGTATCCCACCCTCATCGCCAATGTTAAGTCTGGGCGGTGGGTCCCAAGGAGAGACGAGACTCGTAGTAGTGAACAACAGCTCTTTATTAAGCAACCAGATACTGAGACAAAAACCCTAGCCACGGCTGCTCTTTTTATAGAGCTGGCCATGGCTAGGCAGCCAATGACAGGTTTTTGAGCTTGCCGCGCTTGGTGTTAGCCAATCGCGGCAAGCTCTATATGAGCCAATCAGAGTGTCCCATAATGACCAATCATGGCCTGGCTTTTCCGGACCAATAAGAATGGAGGCTTCAATCCTGCTAGTATGGAACAGACTCCATCCCTCAAAACCTGGTTATGTTACAAAGACTGAAGAGTCTAGTGAAGAGAAGGACCAGGGGAGACTTGATAGCAGTCTTTCAATATTTGAGGGGCTGCCACAGAGAAAAAGGGGTCAAGCTATTTTCTAAAGCACCTGTAAACCAGACAAGGAATAATGTATGGAAACTGAACAAGGAGAGATTTAACCTAAAAATAAGGAGAAACTTTCTGATAGTGAGAACAATCAACCAATGGAACAGCTTGACCTTGGAAGTTGTGGGAGCTTTATCACTGGAGGCTTCCAAGAAAAGATTGGATTGCCATTTGTCAGAAATGGTGTAGGGTCTCCTGCTTGGGTGGGGGGTTGGACTAGATGATCAAAAGGTCCCTTCCAACTCCAATTATCTGTTAACTGTTAACCAGATATGTTTTTAGAAGTCCCCATTGTAATTGACATTTTACTCTTTCCATGTGGCTTGTAGATTTAAATTTATTATAGTGTTAGTATAGTATTATAGTGTTTTTTATATTTTTAATGATGACTTTTTGTATTTTTAGAATGATTATTTCTATATATTTGTTGTTACTGATTGCTGTATGCCACCTAGAATCTCTTTTTTGTGACATGGCTGGCCATATGATTGTGAGAAAGCAATCAAACAAACACAAATATTTTCAGTTTAAATCCTGGCTTTTACCCAATTTTTCTGTTATTTTGTTAGGATTTTTCCTCTTTTCTTTCTTACTTTTCCAAAGTAGAAAATCATCCAAGTTTTAGTAGTCAAAGAATGGTTTTGAAGTACCCCTCTGAATTTTTTCAGTTATTATAGTAATAGCAATGGCACTTAGACTTATATATTGCTTTATAGTGCTTTCCAGCCCTCTATAAGCAGTTTACAGAGTCAACATATTGCCCCGAACAATTTGGGTTCTCATTTTACCCACCCTGGAAGGATGGAAGGCTGAGTCAAACTTGAGTCTGGTGAGATTTGAACTGTCAAATTGAAGGCAGCTGGCAGTCAGCAGAAGTAGCCTGCAGTACTTCATTCTAACCACTGTGTTACCATGGCTCAAAAAGGAAAGAAATTAGGAGATACTACGTAAAATGTCTCCTTTAAAAATGTCCAAAAATGGAAGAAAAAAATATGAAAGCATAATTATTTCCCCCTCTAGAATAATTCTAAAGATAGTAATTAGTTCTCTTTGTAAAATCTGTAAACACTTGAATAAGACTTTAGAGAAATGGGGCGGGGGAACCAAAGAAAAGTCTGTCCCATGGAGACTGGGTAGTAGAAGAAAATGACACACAAGTCCCATGATTTCAACTGCCTCAAAGTAAGTAGTGTTGTTGGAGTTGCATTCAGTGCCATTCAGAACTTTTGTGTATAAGCACTATATGCAAGAGGAATCAGAGCTAACATTTAGCTTTCAGACTTGCTCTTAAAAGGAATTTTGAAGCTGGTGAATGGAGACTAATATTGGAAGCTGCTGGAACTTCTATATTTAGAGAGCCTTTGCTGACCATAATGGTTTTTCTTCTCTTCTTTCCACTTTTCAGAGTGAAATCTTTGCCCTGTCATCCAGGTAATCCCATAATTGTTCCAAATGAATGGTACCAGGAAGGGGACTTTGTCATTGGTGGGATGGTATCCATGGTGAACTATCATTTCAAGGAGATTTCCTTTCACCAGCATCCCTCACAGGAATATTTTAAGTAAGGAATTCTGATCTTTCACCTTTGTGGCATCTCTAGGTAGAGGGATTGTAATAAATAGGTGGAAAGTACATTTTCTTCCCTAATGTGGACCCTTTCTGATGAAAAATATTGCATGATGGAACATAGAATGTCATAAAGCTATTATTTTCTTATGATGCAACAAAATTCCATCTTTGAAAATGTGAAGCATTAGATTAGAAGTGTGATTGGACACACAAGGAATTTGTCTTTGATGTATGTGCTCTCAGTGTACATAAAAAGAAAAGAAACCTTTGTCAAGAATCATAAGGTACAACACTGAATGATAGTCATAGGGTACAAATAAGCAATCAAATCAAATAGTACTAGGAACTATTAGGAAGCCTATTTTATGTCAAAAATATTAGGAAGCCTATTTTATGTCAAAAAGAAAATACTTAGGGAAAAATATATCAAAGTGTGCATAAACCTACAAGAAATATGGAAATTTCTATCTCGTAATAAGAGCTTCCTGTGACCTGTTTTATAGTGTAAGATTTTTCGAGTGCAGCTAAGAATCTAATAAATCCAATGAAACTCTGAACATGAGGCTACTGATAATCAGCTTTATTTTCTGATCAGAAAGCAAAAATTGGGTGACCTTTCAGTCTCCCACCCTAAACAGCAAGGCAGAGAGAAAGAAAAGCAGGCGCGCACAAAAACGTTTCCTTGAACCTTTATAGATTACACAGCTAGCAAACACCGTAATTGCTCTGGAAACATTATTTCATGTCAAGGAAAGCTCATGAAATTTTCTCAGCATTTCTGCAAACAAAGGAGCCTTACTTAGATGGATTGGAAAGAAATACGTTTTAGCTCAAAGCTTCGTTTCTCACATTTTAAGTTACTGGGAAGAATACATTCTAAGTAAGTTACAAGAAGGTAGATGCATTTTCCATTTCTCAAGTAGTTACTTTGCTAAGCTAAGGTTGGCAGTTCACCTAGTAGTTTTTATCTCTGTAGTTAGCTCATCTCCCAGCTCTGTGAGGAAATCAAAGATTGGGTCAGACACGCACTGTATATACACTCTGTTTATGCTCTAACCCCTTCATATCCTCTCTTTTAATGGCAATAGGATGCTTCTATTGCTGAAACAAGGGTGAATATTGCTGGGGTACTGGTGTCAAAGTAAGAACCTTGGCAGGCTTGTCAAGTCTTCCTGAAGCCAAACTGTTATTCCAGAAATTGTGCTAGTAACAACTGATCTTATCACAAGTATCAAACAAAGTATTATCATCAAAATCCTTTTCAGGTGAAAAGAGCTGGAGCAATAGTTTATAGTCATCGCTGTCAAATGCTTCTGATGGCAAGACGTCATGATAAATAGAATCCTCAATAACAAATAGAGTTGACAATGCCTCCCAAGGAATAAAACAAGCCAAAGGAGGCAGTGGACACCTCAAATAGTTGAACACTTAGGGTAGTGAAGTTCACTGTGGCTTTAATCACACACACACAGCTTTTCTTCTTGAGGTGCAGCAATTTCATCAGGCAGCAATAATGCAAAGCAAAAAACAAATTTCTATAAAAGCAAACAGCAGGTAGTCAGGATTCCAGGTCATCAAAAAGGTCTGCAGGTGAAGCTGGGGTTCGTTGCAAATGGAGCTTCAGATCGGTGATGGGTTGACACTCCCACTGGGGTGGTGGAATCTTCTTTATTCTAGAAACGTGGACCCAAGTTTTGATGCCTTCAACTTTAGCCACCGTGGATGTGCTGAGAAGAACCTGCTGAAGGTTGGACCGCTTGGCACTAGAGAAGAGTTCCTTTACTCAAACCCACTCTCCAGGTTGAACACATGGTGGCACTGTTGTTACTAGTGACAATGCTTCTTGCACCTGATGGGAAATAAGAGACAAAACCCGGGCCAGTTTCTGCAAATATTGTGTTACATATTTATCTCTCCTTCATCCCTTGATATTGACTGGGATGAGAAAGGTCTACCATAGAGCATCTCAAAGGGTGACAGTTTCCACTGTCCTTGAGGTAATGCCCTAATTCTGGTTAAAGCAATTGGCAAGACCTGTGGCCAAGGCAAATGGGTCTCCTGGCATAACTTGGCTAAATGGGACTTTAATGTTCAGTTAAGACATTCTGCGAAAGCTGAAGCTTGGGGTCTGTAGCTGAATGAAGGTGCCAGTTAATCCCTAAGTATTTACTCACTCCCTGAACTATGTGGGATGCAAAATGTCTACCACTGTCAGATTCTATATTCTTTGGTACTCCAAATCTAGTGATGACTACTTCTATCATGATTTTGACAACTTCTTTAGCTGTTTGTGTGGCTGTGGGGATGGCTTCTGGCCATCCAGTGAACATATCAATTAAGACCAAAAGGTTGTTCTTAGCTCCTTTCTTCGGCATTTCTGTGAAATCAACTTGCCATGTTTCTCCTGGATAGCATGATGTTCCGATATGTCCTTATCGGATTTTGACTCCTCTTATGGGGTTATTCTTCTGACGTATCTCACAATGATCCATTTCTACCTTACACAACCTTCTCACATTCTCATCTCTTCTCTAACCATCTCTTCATTACTCTTGAACCTGCACGAGTGGCCTGCTGGACATGTCTCACTATTGGCCAAGCTAGCTGCCTAGGCAGTTGTACTTTGTCCCTTACTATCCACCAGCCATCTTTCCACTGACCATCTGCTTCTAACTTGTCTCTACCATCGTACAAAGGAGGAAAGTAATCAATAGGTTCTTCTGAAATTAATGCAACTACACAGATTGTGGACTCTGGGCCCATGGCAGCCTGTTTAGCCCAATAGTCCACTGCCTTATTGCCCCTAGAGACTAGACCGGAGTCAGTTTGATGTCCACGGCAATGGACGACTGCAATGGCTTTAGGTAGGTGAATAGTGCCCATCAAATCTTCCAGAAGGGGTTGCTTCTTTAAAAATTTTCCATCAGCTCCTACATAGCCTCGAGTTTTCCACAAGGTGGCATGGGTATGTGCAGCTAAAAAGGCATATCAGC